GTCCGGATGACATGCCGGGGGAGAGGGTAGAATGTCTTTTGGGTTCTCCGGTAATTTCCGCGATAATAAATAGAAGTTATTTTAAGGATTTTAAAGCTTATATAAATTTATGTTTAGATGATGAATTCTAAATAAAAAAAATAAACATTTTGAGAGGTCTCAAAAAAAGAAAGAAAAATACACTATATGCTTCAGGATGATTTCAGACTGATCCCGACATCCAACATTTAAAACACTACAAACTAAAACAACAACTACATTTTATTATGAAATCGACTTACCCCATAAACTTGATAAACATCCGAAACTTTTCTAGCGAGATCTTACTTAAAATATTAAACTCTCTGGTCAAACCTTCAACCTTTACCTTCGTTTTCATTCTGTCATAATTCTCAAACTTCGTCACAAATTTCACCAATATTTCAAAATATTTTAAATCCATGTTAATTACTGTAAGTCTATTAGCCCACCATCATGTTAATTTCCGTTTTCCTCACTGCATATTCCCGCTAAAAACGACTAGAATCAGACGAATGACGTGGGCCTAAAAGGCGGCATCCAACACAAATAAGCTATTTAATTATCCAAATTTGGAAAATTATGAAATAAAATTAAAACAATATGCATTATGAAATTGTTTATTAAATTAAAATGGAATTTTAACTAAAAAATAACGTCACAGTAGATCGTGGTTACTAGGGGGTATGACGTCTGTCACGTGCTCTATACAAACCGGAAGTAATACGGGAGTATTTCTCTCAATCAAATTCTATAATTGGTGCAATAACTGACAGAATGGGTATCATTAACGGCGTTTTGTTGATTTTAGTTTAAAATATCGCCAAGATTAGGTTATAATCCGAATAGCTCCAGCTTTACTAACATATTCCTACCCCAAACAATTAATTCTTTTCTACTAAACATGGCATTACTTCAGAAATATTCGGACAATTTTTCACTTATGTTTCGATTGTTTTTGTTTAAGATATAAAAAGAATTCTCCCACGCGCAATCAAAATGAAGAAAACCAAAATACATCCTTAAGTAGTTTCAAGTGGGCTAGATCGCATTATAAGGCTATTTACAAATATCGTTTTTTTCCCGCCCTCGTCATGGCAGAAACAGATCAGAAGAGAGCCGTATTAGATCTTTTTGTGACACACGGAAATCAAAACGGATTTCATGAGATCAAAGTGACCCGAGAAAGCACTTGAAATGGTCAGCATCGTTTAAACCACCCACTCTTATCAAAGGATATTATGAGACCGTGGTCCTGCAAGGTTTACCTCATATAGCAATACACGGAAGTATTATACTAATAGTTTCAGACGTGTTTGAGTGGCTGATATAGAGCCTACCTTTAAAATTATATATCAACTCAGAATAACAGACCCAGTTTTGATGTTTGAACAGATGATCAAATATCTAGTGCACCGTCTAGGCTAATATCCTAGCTAGAATATTTCAGATCTTTGAAAATGATGGCAACTAAATAATCATTAACGAGAGGAACGCAATAATAACAAAATGGCTTCTAATAAAGTATTTAAACTTCAAATCATGGTCGAGTAGCACAAATAAAGTTTTACCTCTTAATGTTCTTCATCACTTATTGACAACCACGGGCAGCTTAAAACTAATGATAGTGGAATTCGAAACCCAAATTATTGGAATGATCATCGCCTAAAACCAAGCAACTTTTCTTGTTGATTATGTCATTGGTCAACCTTAAAATGTAGGTAGAATCTTCGCCTTGCCAAATCACCCAAACCCAAACACTGGATACCAAAAGTTAGCCTTTAACATAAACACAGGGCGTTGGTTGAATAACATACATCGATATATTTTTGGGGAATTCTTTTCTATGAATTTGGGACAATGAGTGTTGTTACTTGTTAAAAATGATGACTAAAAATGTAAATCTACTTTTGAAAAGAAGACATGTCATATAAGGTGGGAAAAGTACTGTCATGGTGTCGTTAGTTACACGTAGTTACATGGTGACACGTAATATGACGTCATTCTGATCTAGGGTCAAGGGTCAAACACGTCACTGACATGACATCATCAATATAATAAAATTTTTAAAATAACCAATAAATTTTCTTCAATTTCAATACAAAAACCTGAAATAAAATCTAGATTCCTATAACTTGTTATATAGCAGATCTAATTACAATCTTCTCGAAAATTTTGGAATCTTGTGCACCAGTCGGTCTCGTTTAAAACAATATTAGAAATAAAATACTAATTATACTAAAAGTTTAGAATCATTTGGCTAATGCTGGTCTTTGGTATTTGGCACGGAAAGTGCAGAACCTCATGAAATTTGTCAGAGAATGCCAGATAAGAAGGAGTCGCGTGCCGGTAAAATTTCGTGTTTTATGTAAGAAATATGAGATGAATGAATTGTGTTTTATCTGAAATACAGCGACTTTATTCACCTCATTACCGTGTTCTGATAAAAACACTCTTAAAAAATAATATTGTCTTCTTCACAGACAACAAACCCAGGCCCCGTGTACACTGTAATAAAATCACCCACAATATAACTTCACTTCCGTGCACACTGTAAGAAAATAGCCAGAAAACACTCGCGTGGATGGGGCAAAACATTGGAAGTCATATTATCAAATCAATGCTCTGCTTGCACCGAAGTTAGGTACAAAAGCGCCCAGTTGAGTGGATTGGACAATAACCAAACATCCCGTAGGTTACAGGCTGTACACGTAAAAGCTTAAAAATTGCCATATCGTATTGCATTGGACTGATGCAAATTCATTGACGTCATTATATCAAATAGGCGGTCTCCAATGTAAACAATCATGTCGGTAGTCCCAAACGTTATAAATTCATATTAAAGTCTTTGTATCAAAATCAGAAAGTCTTGAAAACGTAAATATAAGCAATAAGCTGGCGGTTATGGTCGTATATCAGGACAAAGGTTTGGCTGGAAAATTGCGCATTTATTCAATTTTCCAGCCAACCTGATATACGACCATAACCGCCATAGGGTAACAGTTTATTACTTAAATAAAAAGGGACTGGAGAAACATGTCACCATAACACCAACATTTACAAGATCCAGTCTCTAATTTCTAATTGAATCGGTAATGTTTATTATTCTTTAATTTATTATGAAGATAAACCGAGAGGTCACTCGCGCCGATACTGAGTTATCTAAATTTCCAGTTTGCTTATCTCCTTTATTACACGAGTTATCGCTCTTGACATGTTAAACAATGAAATTAGAAGATGACCTTCTGTTACTTTGATCTGTTAAGAATTTTAAAAATTTAACTAATCTGAAATCTGAGGATTTTTTATCAAATAAAACGGATTAAGTCAACCTAGTAGAATAGGCCCATTCTAAAACGTTCAGAACGTTTGGGTCCAGGGTTTGGGATCAGGGTTTGGGACCAGGACGTATTAATAAATATACCCAATTCATCCTATATCTATGTCGTTTAGCGCAGATGATCGACTGATATTGAGATCAATGGTCAGCAAAAAAATTTAGGTTCAAATTCACCTTCAGCATTTTTAAATTTTAATTGATTAATTAGTTAATAAAAAATGTCTACCTAATTGATTTTGTTGGTTTGTAGACTGGCAGCCACCAGCCAAGCCAACTGTCATTTTGTGTGCAATAAATAAAGCCCAATGTATAACAACCCAATCTTATCTAAATTCCACAGTTATGTTGTAATAACGTTATTTCGAACCAATCAAAGATGTAGAATCCGTTTCTTGCTAACTTAAATTGTGCCTTGTTGATTTACTTTGGCAGGAAACGAATCCTACATTACTATCTTTGATTGGTTAAAAACAACACCATAAGACGTCACGACGGCGGGAGAAAACTGTTCAGACGAAATATAGCCTACACAAAGAAAAGGAAATTTTAATTTTTAAATAGATTGACGATATCCTGAGGTTAAGGATTATTTATGTCGGTTTATGGTCTACTAATATGTCCCGAGGGCGATTCGTGGTCAACGAACCAACTGCACTGATGCTATCGGAATCCGGGAAAATCCTACCATCCCTGAATTTGGTCAACCTTTGAGCACCTTTGACTGAACAATCGTAGTTGCAAACCAGTCTTATCTAAAACATATTCTCTAGTTTCTAGACAAAAAACAATCACAGATCCAAATTAAAATTAAACAGAATATGATGACGGACAGAAAGCTCAAAAAACTATACCATCTTTCACGGTGTAATCAGCAGATTCTCAAAATGGAAGTTCCATTGGAATTGTCAACCCTTAACAAGGAAAGAAACATCAAAATTTTACAAGAATAACAACAGAGGTTCACGAGGATCCTTGGTCAAACCTCTTTGCATTGTTCTTACAAGAATAATAACTTGGGTTCACAAGGATCCTTTCTACCAGCTGGTCCTTGGTCAAACCTCTTGCCAGTGATCTCTCCTGAATCACCCACCTTCCTGAATGGTTTATAAACTAATAAGAATGTGTCCCCTAGCATTTTTTTAAAATTAATTAATTTGAGGAGTAAAGTTAAAGGAAGAGAACCGGTATTTTTTTTTTCATTTGAAATTTAAGTTTTCATGGGATAGTTATATATGAAAAGTAACTATGACGGGTGTGGTGCCAGCCAGGGTATGCTTACTCTTCTAGACACCAGATACCACTATCCATTATGAAATACTTACTCACTTATGATTGATATACTTTCTCATATGAACAGCCCATTAGCTGCTACTAATGTTTCGTCAATATATTGTTTGGGTTTTTTTTGTTGTTCGTTAGTACTTGGTTTATGAATAGAAAGAGATTAAAGGGATGGGTGCGGAAAGACCAAAATGAATCTCCCAAAATGGCACATCCATCCCTTTAAAGAAATGAATAGAAATATTTTAACTTTTTCCTTTAATAATTAATTAATAATATATAAAACACCCAGACTGTCGCTAATCTTGTCAAATCATCAACAACATTGGTTAGATTCACTTGAATCCAACAGATTGTCAAAATGAAGCTTCTAGTTGTGTTAATGCTCAATGTTGTAGTCTATATCTCAGGTATGTTCAATTTATATATTCATTCATTCTTAAAACTTTTCACTTATTTAATCATTCATTTATCAACAATAACAAATCATTTACCACTGTTAAAATAGTTCCCAATACATCAATTATAGAGCAACATAGAAATACCACTGTTAAAATAGTACTCAATACATCAATTATAGAGCGACATAGAAATACCACTGTTAAAATAGTGCTCAATACATCAATTGTAGAGCGATATAGAAATACCACTGTTAAAATAGTGCTCAATACATCAATTGTAGAGTGATATAGAAATACCACTGTTAAAATAGTGCTCAATACATCAATTGTAGAGTGATATAGAAATACCACTGTTAAAATAGTGCACAATACATCAATTGTAGAGTGATATAGAAATACCACTGTTAAAATATATATATATTTATTTTTTATTTGTAGCCCAGTGTCTTACTGGTGAGATTAGAGCAGATCCAACCGACTGCACTGGATATTTACACTGTGCATTCCCTGGTTTGTTAATACCCAGAAGATGTCCAACAGGGACGGGCTTTAATGGATTTCGATGCGATCATCTTCAACATATACCAGGTTGTGTCCAAGGGCCTGGTAAGTTTAAATTCATCAATCTGCGAATAAGTTCTTTTTTATTCAGCATCCCTGAGAGTAAACATTAAGAAGACAAGTTATATGGATATTCTACTTCTGGGTTTATTACCTGTATATGTTTTGAAACGTAGTATATAATAAACCTAGAAGTAGTATATCTATATATCTTGTGTTTTTAATGTTACCTGTATGTGTTTCTAAACGTAGTATATAATAAACCTAGAAGTAGTATATCTATATAACTTGTGTTCTGAATACATAGCTAGTGTTTATTTGGTTTTGAGGGTTAACAATCCAGATTCCCTCCAGAAGAGTCCACATAGCATAGCTCTGTTTATTTGGTAGTCAGGTTTGACAGCTAGACTGATAGGGTATATATATAAGCTTAAAGTGATCTGATATACATACAAAGAGTAAGAAATCAGTGTAAATAGAATCTAACAGTATTTACAGTAATACACAATGTTTTGATATTGTAGATGCGTGTACTGGTAACGGTTATGATATATTTCTCGATCCGACGGACTGTACACGGTATCTACAGTGTATTCGTGGTCGATTCACATCAAAACCTTGTCCAGCTAATACTGGTTTCGACGTGAGATTCTCTAGATGTAATCATTTGAGTGATATTCCCAACTGTCCTTAGATCCATCCAAACAAATTATAACTGAGCGTTTTCCTCGAATGGATTCAAATTCTCAAAAAGCCACTTGAAGTAATGAAAAATGTTCGATATACGGTGTTTCTAATATTATATAAAGAATAGACTCTTTTAGAGGGTTCACATGGCTGATATTGTTTTTTTGGTATTTAGGTTTGTCAATTCGACATCATTTAGAGATTTTACATAATCAATGTTTTTTTTGGGTATATATGTATGTCAATTCGACATTTTTTGATAGTTTCACGTTATTAAAGTGTTTATTTTGGTATATTTATGTAAATGTTTCTATCTGGTTAATAAGATGAGAATCAGTGGTTGCAGTAGGAATTTAAAACGTTCAAGTTATATTGTAGGATCGTGAATTATCAAATAAAATAAATTAAAGGTTTTGTTGTGTTATATTATTATTGAACAAGATGACATGTGAGGTCTTTGCCGTTAAAGATTTCTTTACCCCATGGTGATTACCATTTGCGTATGTTAAATAATAAAAGTGGTCATGACTTCCGAACGCAGGTCACATCTCAATCACATGAGAGTTGCGTTTGAAACTTATAACCGGTATTTTTATTCGTAACCATATGCAACTGGTGTAAGGACACCTTTAAACAATCTAAATACCACTAAATACATGACACCCTTGTTCACTTGTTCCAAATAGGTATGAAAAATTCTCATGCCACGCCTAGTACCTCTCTGGAATGTGCCTAGTTATCGACTGGTAATCTGGACTCTGTGTAAGTAAAACAAATCTGCAAGAGAACTTTAATTAGCTCTTGGAAGATACGGCACAACGGAACTTTGGTGAAATTTACTAGTTTAAAATCTTGACTTAGATATAAGACACTACAACGCAAATTCATTGTTGATAATTACCAGCCAAAAAAGCTGCCAAAGAGACAAAAAGGCTTGTTGCATGTTTTGACAAATTATTTGAAAGAACAAGGCCCATCACTCAACAACCTGGTAAAATATGACGTATGATGGTTGTAACAGACGTGTTTTTAGAGCAGACGATCGCTTGATAAAGGGAGATAATTAATTACCGCTGATTGCAGACGATAATACATGACGTCTGAGAATTCACCTACTTAACAAGATATGTCATTCATAAGATTATTGACAAGGTTGGTGAAACCCGAGTAGCTACAGAACAATTCTAAAACTTTGTACCAATATATTGTAACAATCACACGATTAGAAATTAACAAATTTCTGGTAAGGTCTGATTTCTGGAAAAATCCCCCTGCCCTAAAAAGTATTATTTACAATGAAAATTTTACCCGTGGTGACAAATACCTTTAAGAACTAATTGACAATTGACAAATGGCGATAGTCTTGGAATTTTGGATATTTCAGCTCCAAATTGCAAGAACGTCCTCACTGAATGCGCACTCAAATCCGTGTTGAGAATCTGATTGTAAAACTCTATTCTCGTAACTTATACAAATATTTGAATATTACAATACGTTATATAGCCATCATCGATTATTTTTGGTTAATCAGGAACAGTTTGTCTGTCTGATACCTCCCTGGATATTGGCACAAGACGACACCTAATAAATATTACCTGATGTAGGTCTAGAAACAAGCTCTATTAAATATCAAGACAGTCAAAAATATCAAGACATTTCTAGGTTTTATATTTCGACGCATAGCTATCATACATTTACGTGCAACAAAACTTGTACAATGTACAACAGTTTATAACAGTGTACAAACATAATAATGTACAGCAATGTGTGTATTTTGTATCAGTGTACAGATATGTACAACAGTGTGTTCAAACATGACGATGGACAACGTATTTCAGTGTACAACAATGTACAATGCTGTTTACAAGCATAACAATAGATATGTACAATAATGTATAGTGTACAACAATTTTCAAAACATTTACAGTAATGTACAACAGTGTGCTAATAACACAAACATAATATTGTACAACAACGATGTTTAACAATGAACAATGTACAACAATGTACTACAATGTATAACGGTGTATTACGATGTATAACAGTGTATTACCGTACGATGTATAACAATGTGTACAAATATATCAATACATCGATTTCATTCACATCAGAATCGTTTTTAATCTTTTTCTGTCTGTTTACTAACACAATAAGAGAATCAAATAAACACAGGGAGGGGTAAAAACAAACAATAGCGAGTTTCAGGTAAATTATTAGATACATGAGTAATAAACAGGATTCTGGCCTTTCAACTGAATGATATCGATGATAAAGACGGGTGGAGACGAGTTGAATATTGGTAGACTTTATGTTATAGATATATATACTTACTTAAAGAGGCAGTATACGTCTATTACAGAGAATATATAAATTCTAACTACGTATGTGTCCTACATGGACTGTGTTATTTCTTTGTACCATCGTATGGGAAGACTATTTTAAGATATTTATGGGCTACCGTTGCCGTAATGAAGAAATAGGGCTAATTGAGAGAACTTTTTGAAAATCAGGCAAGTTTTGAAAATCAGGCAAGTAATAAGAAATAAATTCACAAAATAATAATTAATCTATCCACTGAAATTGATGAAAAAACTCAATTTGATTGCATGGTAATAAGATAAATTCATATATTGTGAGATTTTGGTAATTAGGAATCATTCACTATACCTGTTTTATAAAGAGCTGACAGACAGTTTAATATTCAATCTAATTTGTGCCACTAGCACACAATCTCCCCTTTAATATTCAATACAACAGATTCCAGTATGTGCATTATTTAACACGTGCATCTGATAAGATATGAACATCCACCTATTATCAAGACATTGAAAGATCACTCCTCACCAAACACTCTGTGTCTGAATACCCCACATTCCCGATAAATAGAAACAGAAAGTAGAAAATGATTGGTATTTCTTTGGTGGGAAACTGTAAACCGATTGTTCGAAAATAAACTCAAGATCTCAATATTTATACTCATAATATACCCTCTTATTCTTTCTCTCTTCTTTTATTTTATTTTATTTAAATGATGGTACTCCGAGACAAACCTGGATCTTATTATCAAAAACTTAACCATGTCATTGTTTCAGCCATCTTATTGGTCAATCATTTAAATCGATTTTAATTTAAGTTATCTATTTAATAATTGAACATATATTTCTCAATGATGTTGTCGAGATCGAGCTATGCCTTATTGTGGCAGATACATGCATTACTTAATGTTACTTCTATGGATGTGGGTATAACGATACGAATAACTGCTGGTAGAAATATGCCTAGTCCTGTGAATAAAGTATAATATTGTAATAGATCCGCACAGTTGTCTCAACTATGTCTTAGTGTGGGAGATACATGTATGTTTGTACTACGTTACGGGCACCTGCTGGTAGAAATATGCCTAGTCCTGTGAATTAAGTATAACATTGTGATAGATCTCAGCAGGTACTCTGTAGAGAATACTAACAGAACATAGACAGACGTAGATACACGTGTTTCTGTACATGTAGTAACATTGTTTCATATCGACTATCGTCCATGATATCTCATCTCATACCTCATAAAACCAGCCTGTGTATTCTCCGAATGATCTTAACAATAGGCTGTCCTGGGGTCTTAATTTCTAACATTGATTCTAGGATATCCTAGGGTCTTAACTTCTAACACTGTTTCTGGGACATCCTACAGTATTAATTCTAACACTGTTTCTAGGATATCCTGTAGTCTTATCATCTAACACTGTTTCTAGGATTTCGGGAATACGTTGCTAGGATTTGCTCAATGTTTTACTAGACTCAAATCGTCAACTATTGAAAAATACACAAAATGACAAAAAATAAATAGTAACAATGTTTGTATCAAATTTGTATTTGACTAGTTTTTTTTAACAAATTTCATGTCGCCAGTAGAAAGTTTGAAGTGTTTGAGTTTTGAACAATGTCAGTTGAAGGTAGATAAAGAGGGTGTCTGGGGCACGAGATGGCGTGTGACGACGCGTGTATTTAGTATTTCTTATAATGTTCATTATTACAGGGGTGTTAAGAGTGAAGGTTTAAGAGGGGAGCCATTTTTTTAAACAGTGAAGGGATTGGGTGTTATTTTTAAAACTTTGCCCTTGGTTCAATCCCCATCGTTGACTTAAAGACTTAAAGCGATACTCAGTGCATCTTCAATTATCTTTTCTTATTTAATTTTCTACCATATCGGTTATTCCAACCCACACCCATCAACCGAGACAGTTCCTCTTCTATCACAACTTCTGGCGTGAAAATCCTGAAATTTCAGGAAATAACCAACCAATTGAAATCATCAACGTCCCATAATACCCACTTAAATCTGTCACATCAAATAACTTCCGGACAATGTGCACGACAATATTGTTACAATAAAAAGTGTTTGAGTATTGACACAACACACTCGTCAATATAACGAGTCAATATAAATCACAATTCATGTCAAATTTAAACTTGAAGTTGTGATAAAGTGTTGAAGAAGGCAGATACCTGGCGACAAGTTGTTTTTTTCTTCAACGTACACACACCTTTTTAATATAAAGTTTTAATAATAAAATACAGATTGAGAAACAGCCATTTCCTCACTAGAATATTTCATTATGTATTATTATCTTTTATCGTTAGCGAGTGACAAATAGTATCATTGTCGAAACGATGTGGAGGGCATTTAAATATATAACAGACAAATGCAAAGCTGTTTTTTATTTCAAAATGTTATACATTGTAACAACAATCAGAAAGTTTACTGTTATTAAAGATAGGCGAGAGAACGTATTAACAAATTAGGAGGGATACGAATTGTTTTTTCAAATTGGAGACCAAGGCGTTAGAATAGGTCTAGGACAGGAATAGTAGAGATATTGCTGGTTATATGTACTATGTTACATTTTGAATTGTTTTTTTTTAGTAACGATGTTCAAAAAATCAAAAAAATCAAACTTACTTGCTTTCTAAGCGGCTACCCATCCCTCAAAATGGCTGCCGTTAATCTCCA